ATCAACTATCAGCAAAGCAGCTACATCTCTCTCCATCTTCCTCTTGCATATTCTTTGTAACATTGGCTCATACGGACACAATGTACCATGCTGTAAAGAATTAAACAAGCCATATCATCTCGTTCATGGCTTCTCAGACCTTGAACTCAAACCATTGTGTTGACCCGCCCAAAACATATAACTTAATAATTAAATTAATATCGTAAATATGTGGGCGACTACTCGACTAAAGGCGCTAAATGAAGACTATTGGTAGACTAAGAAAATTCTTAGTCGGGGGCAGCCCTAGTTGTTAGAAGAGGACGAAGGGAAGGAAAATAGCCTCAATACTTTACTGCAAATCTCCAGGTTTGCTCATATGACATCAGAAACGTATGATGTACTTGCTGCTCAAGCTGTGAGCTTAACCTCATCACACGTATGCTGCGACTGTGACTGTCGACAGATTCTTATTTCACTGTTGCACATTAATGGAAACATGCAGATAAATGTAGCCTATATGATACAAGCTACTTAACATAGACTGCAAACTAGCTTGACGACATGGCCAAACACAAGTAAGATGCTGAATGTATTTAACTGTGTGGACCTTCAACTAATGATGAAGGAGAAATCTGGACCCTGTGGCTGGACCAGTTGGGAACCACTGACTTAGTTGACTTCTGCAGTGTAGCAAAGGACTGGAGCCGATCCCAACTGGGTGACAAGTGCAATACATGCAGTATATGGTGCATTCTTACCCTTCAGCCCCCTCTGGATTGGCAGGAGCAGCAGGAGCAGGACCAGCAGCCGGAGCAGGAGCAGCAGGAGCAGGAGCAGCAGCTGGAGCAGGAGCAGCAGGAGCAGCTGGGGTAGGTTCTGGAAATAAAACACAGCAGCACTCTTTAGTCTGTTTCTAACAATTAGACACAAACACTAACCGAAGAACAAAAAGCCATAATGTCCTAGCATGGAAATCAAAATTAAAGCAACAGAGAGTATACTTTCTTAAATGTACGATCAAGGTGCACTTTATGTCCTAATGCCACTACACGATGTTCCTGTGCATTTATTGTACTTGGTGAAACAGTGATAATAATGGGACATGTACATGGCTTTTTTTTCTTCCTGAAATCAGTTAATCATCTGCAAAGACTATTTCTAGTCTGTATGTAATCTGTGTTCACCTGGATAATCCCCCAGACACATTAGGTCATAGCATGGTTGAGTTTATTGTCTCCTGTCCTCTGCCAAGATAACATAATTCCTTTTATCTCTAGTCAGAAAGACAAGGAGATGGATGAATTCGAATTGGATCCAAACACACTTCTCACCTGGTTTGGCCTCTTCCTTCTTGGGCTCTTCTTCTTTCTTCTCTTCTTCTTTTTTCTCTTCCTCTTTCTTTACCTCTTCTTTCTTTTCCTCATCTTTCTTTGGCTCCTCTTTTTCATCCTTCTTTTCGGGGGGCTTTTCCTCCTGTAAACACACAATAATGGTAACAAAAGCAGACAGACGTCTTGAGACAAAGAGGACACAGCCAATCATCAGTTGTAAGACTCATCTACTTCGTCATGGATCCAAAAAAGTCAAAGTGCTCAATGCTACTGCCACAGCCCTGGGCTTTAAAGTTGGTATTTGCTAATGATTAAGAGGCAGCACGTTGGTGCATTAGTTAGCACTGTCGCCTCACAGCAAGAGGGTTCCTGGTTCGAATCCTGGGGTAGGGGAGCCCTTCTGTGCGAATTTGCATGTTCTCTCCGTGTCAGCGTGGGTTTTCTCCAGGTACTCCAGCTTCCCTCCACAGTCCAAAGACATGCAGGTTAATTGGTGAATCTAAATTGTCCATAGGTGTGAATGTGAGTGTGAATGGTTGTCTGTCTCTATGTGTCAGCCCTGTGATAGTCTGGCGACCCGTCCAGGGTGTACCCTGCCTCTCGCCCATTGTCTCCCCAAACTTGTAGTTCATTCTCAGTGCTGTCCCCTCCCTCAGCTTCAGGAGAAATACTGAAGTTCTTGAAAACTTGATCTAGGGTTTATGTCACGTGATCAATGGCGGCAGCATGTAAATGCTTTGTCCTCGACTTCCCAAACTTTTAACATTAAATTAATAATCCCTAAAATTTTAAAATTAAGTGTCTAAACACGATTAAAATTTAAAAAGGAAAGTTAAAAAACGGGCGGCACGGTGGTGTGGTGGTTAGCACTGTCGCCTCACAGCAAGAGGGTTGCCAGTTCGACCCCGGGCATGGGAGCCCTTCTGTGCGGAGTTTGCATGCTCTCCCCGTGTCAGCGTGGGTTCTCTCCGGGCACTCCGGCTTCCTCCCACAGTCCAAAGACATGCAGATTGGGGACTAGGTTAATTGATAACTCTAAATTGTCCGTAGGTGTGAATGTGAGTGTGAATGGTTGTTTGTCTCTATGTGTCAGCCCTGCGATAGTCTGGCGACCTGTCCAGGGTGTACCCTGCCTCTCGCCCAGTGTCAGCTGGGATAGGCTCCAGCCCCCCCGCGACCCTCAAGAGGATGAAGTGTTTAGAAGATGAATGAATGAATGAAGTTAAAAAACAAAACAAGGAAAAGATGAGAAGACAGGAGAAATTAGACAAGAACATAAAAGTAACCCAAAAGAAAGCATGGCATCAATAATGGGGAGATAAAAAAGTTAATTGTGGAATTAAAAGGACCTGTCTCTGGCCAAATCAAGGATTTCAGAGCGGAATTTAAAGACTTAAGAGCAGGAAAAATATTGCTTATGTTCCCCCCTGAAAATCCACCTATGCTTCCCTGGTGAAGATGCAGTGACTGCTCTCCATCAGTGCCAAGCTGCTTTACTGGTCTAAGTCACCTGCTATGGTCGACCTTAAAAACAACACGTGTGACGAGTAGTTACTGAGCACAGAACCTGATTAATTTAATGGTTGGAATGGTGCATGCATGGCAACTGCTAGACAGCTGTTCAGGGAGCAACAAATACAAAATACTGTTAAAAACAGCATGAAAAAAGAACTCAGAAAGAAATAAAAAAAGATATCAGGCCTTACCTTAGCTGGTGGAGCTGCGCTGGGAGGCGGGGTAGCAGCCGGGGCAGGCGGAGGCTCAGGAGCACTGAGTAACTTTTTAAACCTGCTGAACATGGTGAGGTTTGGTGCGGGCTACAGGGAACAGGCCATCCACTTCTCCTCCTCTTGAAAACACTTTCTGATGTGGCTCTCCGATCCTTAAAAGAAGTCCTTGTCTCTCATCCAAACCACAGACTGAGGCAATTAAATATCTTAGAGTTTAATTCTCTCTGGGCACTCCCCTTTTCCTGGAGTCACCACCAGATTAGCCACCAGTCTCTGCCAGGCAAGACGACTGTCCTGTGTTGACTTCAGTCTAGAGACCTTTGATTACTTTATCATTTGTTGGCAAATACACATCATAATAATTATTACAAGCGTATCTCCTGATTAATCAGTGACTAAATGAAAAGATGAATCACTGTTAAGTCAGTGAGGTTTTTTTTATATATATATATTTTAGTTTAGTTTTTTAAAACATCAAGCACACAGTCACAAATTGACAGTATACAAACACCAATTTCACATTACGAATGCTTCAAAAATAAATTAACAGAAAATAAAATAAACTGGCACGCAACAGTGCCAATAAAAATGTAATGGTGCTCCGCAATGATTTTTTTTTCTCCAAGTGAGGATCAGAATATATGCAGTTCACATAATCTGACCAAAATTAATATATATAATCACTTGAAGATCCAGTCATTACTAAAAGTGTACGTCATATAAAAACTGAAGTAATGGTCAAAGTTGTCATATGGAATAGTTAAGGGGTAACACTTTACTTGAAAGTATCTACATAAGGGTGACATGACACTGTCATAACAATGACATGACACTGTCATGAACTTGTCATAAACATTATGTACATGTCATAAACGTTCATGACTGCTGTCATTAAGTGTCATTTGGTTTTTGTAATGACAAGCTGACATTGTTTGGGATGTCCTTATAATGACAACTTGACACTAACCAGGATGACATTACCAGAAAATGTCTTTGTCATGACAACTTGACATTAAATTGGTTTGGAATGTCCTTATTGTGACAACTTGACATTGACCAGGATGACATTACCAGAAGTTCTCTTTGTCATGACAAGTTGACATTAAATTTGTTTGGGATGTCCCTATTTAGACAACTTGGCATTAATCAAAGTGACGTTACCAGAAGATGTCTTTGTCATGACAACTTGACATTAAATTTGTTTGGGATGTCCTCATAATGACATTACCAGAAGATGTCTTTGTCATGACAACTTGACATTAAATTTGTTTGGGATGTCCTCATAATGACATTACCAGAAGATGTCTTTGTCATGACAACTTGACATTAACAAAAAAAAAAAAAAAAAATGCACCTCTTTTTTGTATTTATGACAAGTTGACATAATGATTGTTATAATTAGATGTCCAAGGTTACAGACCGATTCTAACACTTGGTCAGATAGATGTCTGACAGGATACGACACAAAACTGGCTGTCATGACACCATTATGACAGTGTAATGAATAAATTCTTTGACCTAAAGTAAAGTGGTACCATTTTGATTTGTCTTTAAGATATCATAAAGGATAAGACTGGCTGTCATGACAGCATTATAACAGCCAGTCTTATCCTTATTAGATCATTATTACAAACTGGTTACTAATTCGACAATTAAATTTACTGAAATCAGTCAAAACAACTCCTCTGCACTTCACACACAACACAGCACACTTTTCTCAATATTTAATCATGACGATAACACATGAATTACGTGGTAGTAATTTGAAAGCAGCTGGTGTAAAACTAGCCTGCTGGGGTTATTTCAGTCCACTCTGCCCACTTAGTTAATTAACCCTTACAGTGTCTCCTTCTGGCTCACGGGATTAGTCAGCTCTTTCTCTGAACTGTAATTCCTACCATACAAATACACAGCCGGCAGACAGATACACAACAAGCAAACAAATAGGACAGCAAACTGAAGTTATGCAAGGGAATTATTTATTTAAGCAAATATTGATGGGGACCAAATCGATCAAATTCATTGTGAACAATACAGTTACCAATTGTCATGACAGATAATCTCTGTTAGGCTTTTACAACCACTGTGCATTGGCAAACCAAATAAACACAGTCAATAAAAGCAGACAGACAAAAGTTAACAAGGTACAACAAGCGTATTTGAGGTTCACAGACAGATTAAATATTGCACATCTCATAATAGTTTAGAAATATATCTTTAAATACAGTTTTGGTGTTTAAATCTGCTTGTTGTCTCAGTTAGCTTGGCTTTGTCAGGTGGTCTAAGCATATCGAACCAGATATCTGACCCCAGGAAATACAGAAGTAATCAGCTTTAAACATTATTTTAACATAACCTGAAATACACTCAATACAAAAGAGTAGTAAGATGTTCAAAACAAAACTGTACATTCACTCCCAAAAAGGAGTTATAAGAAAAAGTAAGCCCACTACAGTTCTCACTGGCCACCAGCAGCAGCAGCCTGGGGGAAACAATACAAAATGTGACAGTCAGCATAACTGCAATGGTTTTTATATGACCACATATAGACTGAAAAGTAAATGTTGTTACCTTCATCTTCTCAATAATGTTCCTGTTCACGTTTCCACCAATAGCACGCAGCAGTTTGGGTGTGGGCGGTTTGGGTCCGAACAGGGCCAGGCCTTTCTTCTTGTCCTCTTCTGCTTTAGCTGCTGCTGGACCCTTGGACTTCATGAGTTTCCTGTACAAACAGACACAGAGAGAATGACTGAACAAATGTCTTCTGATACCATTACCATTAAAATGTAAAGCTGACTGAAATATATTGGTAAATATAAATGTCATATATCAGGGGTCCTCAAAGTTTTGATGATTGAGTGTCAATTTAGGGAGCCAGTGTATGATTGAGGGCTGCACAGGAAGAGTGCACACACTAAGAGTTTGTATGGCAAAATATATACTGTGACTGTTTTAAGAGTTGTTTTTAAAATTCCTTTTTATGACATACTACAATTGTAATTCTTAGAACACTACTTTTATTTTTTTACATTTTATGAGATAATACTACGACTTTTTTAATGACTTTTTCATGACAAACAATACTATGACTTTTTTGACAAACAATATGATGACTTTCTAGGACATAATGTACTTTCACTTTTTTAAAATAACTTTTTATGACATACTATACTATGACTTTTTTTTCATAATTTGGGACGACATACTATACTATGACTTTTTTTCATGATTTGGGACGACATACTACACTATGACTTTTTTTTCATGGTTTTGAAACGACATGCTATACTATGACTTTTTCATGATTTGGAACATCATACTATAAGATGACTTTTTTTCATGATTTGGTATGACATACTATACCATGACTTTTTTTCATGATTTGGAACAACATACTATACTATGACTTTTTTTTTCATGGTTTTGAAACGACATACTATACTATGACTTTTTTTCATGATTTGGAACAACAAACTATACTATGACTTTTTTTTTCATGATTTGGGACGACATACTACACTATGACTTTTTTTTCATGGTTTTGAAACGACATGCTATACTATGACTTTTTCATGATTTGGAACAACATACTATACTATGACTTTTTTTCATGATTTGGTATGACATACTATACCATGACTTTTTTTCATGATTTGGAACAACATACTATACTATGACTTTTTTTTTCATGGTTTTGAAACGACATGCTATACCATGACTTTTTTTCATGATTTGGAACAACAAACTATACTATGACTTTTTTTTTCATGATTTGGGACGACATACTACACTATGACTTTTTTTTCATGGTTTTGAAACGACATGCTATACTATGACTTTTTCATGATTTGGAACAACATACTATACTATGACTTTTTTTCATGATTTGGTATGACATACTATACCATGACTTTTTTTCATGATTTGGGACGACATACTACACTATGACTTTTTTTCATGGTTTTGAAACAACATGCTATACCATGACTTTTTTTTTCATGATTTGGAACAACATACTATACTATGACTTTTTTTTCATGATTTGGGATGGCATACTACACTATGACTTTTTTTTCATGGTTTTGAAATGACATGCTATACCATGACTTTTTTTTCATGATTTGGAACAACATACTATACCATGACTTTTTTTCATGATTTGGAACAACATACTATACTATGACTTTTTTCATGATTTGGGATGACATACTACACTATGACTTTTTTTTCATGATTTGGGACGACATACTATACTATGACTTTTTTTTCATGGTTTTGAAACGACATGCTATACCATGACTTTTTTTCATGATTTGGGACGACATACTATACTATGACTTTTTTTTCATGGTTTTGAAACGACATGCTATACCATGACTTTTTTTCATGATTTGGAACAACATACTATACTATGACTTTTTTTCATGATTTGGGACGGCATACTACACTATGACTTTTTTTTCATGGTTTTGAAACGACATGCTATACCATGACTTTTTTTCATAATTTGGAACAACATACTATACTATGACTTTTTTTCATGATTTGGGACGACATACTACACTATGACTTTTTTTTCATGGTTTTGAAATGACATGCTATACCATGACTTTTTTTTTATGATTTGGAACAACATACTATACCATGACTTTTTTTCATGATTTGGAACAACATACTATACTATGACTTTTTTCATGATTTGGGACGACATACTACACTATGACTTTTTTTTCATGATTTGGGACGACATACTATACTATGACTTTTTTTTCATGGTTTTGAAACGACATGCTATACCATGACTTTTTTTCATGATTTGGGATGACATACAATACTATGACTTTTTTTTCATGGTTTTGAAACGACATGCTATACCATGACTTTTTTTCATGATTTGGAACAACATACTATACTATGACTTTTTTTCATGATTTGGGACGGCATACTATACTATGACTTTTTTTTCATGGTTTTGAAACGACATGCTATACCATGACTTTTTTTCATGATTTGGAACAACATACTATACTATGACTTTTTTTCATGATTTGGGACGACATACTATACTATGACTTTTTTTTCATGGTTTTGAAACGACATGCTATACCATGACTTTTTTTCATGATTTGGAACAACATACTATACTATGACTTTTTTTTATGATTTGGGACGGCATACTACACTATGACTTTTTTTTCATGGTTTTGAAATGACATGCTATACCATGACTTTTTTTTTATGATTTGGAACAACATACTATACCATGACTTTTTTTCATGATTTGGAACAACATACTATACTATGACTTTTTTCATGATTTGGGACGACATACTACACTATGACTTTTTTTTCATGATTTGGGACGACATACTATACTATGACTTTTTTTTCATGGTTTTGAAACGACATGCTATACCATGACTTTTTTTCATGATTTGGGATGACATACAATACTATGACTTTTTTTTCATGGTTTTGAAACGACATGCCATACCATGACTTTTTTTCATGATTTGGAACAAATTACTATACTATGACTTTTTTTTCATGGTTTTGAAACGACATACTATACTATGACTTTTTTTCATGATTTGGAACAACATACTATACTATGACTTTTTTTTTAATGATTTGGAACAACATGCTATACTATGACTTTTTTTCATGATTTGGGACGACATACTACACTATGACTTTTTTTCATGGTTTTGAAACGACATGCTATACCATGACTTTTTTTCATGATTTGGAACAACATACTATACTATGACTTTTTTTCATGGTTTGGGATGACATACTATACTATGACTTTTTTTTTCATGGTTTTGAAACGACATACTATACCATGATTTTTTTTATGATTTGGAACAACATACTATACTATGACTTTTTTTCATGATTTGGAACAACAAACTATACTATGACTTTTTTTTTCATGATTTGGGACGACATACTACACTATGACTTTTTTTTCATGGTTTTGAAACGACATGCTATACTATGACTTTTTCATGATTTGGAACATCATACTATAAGATGACTTTTTTTCATGATTTGGTATGACATACTATACCATGACTTTTTTTCATGATTTGGAACAACATACTATACTATGACTTTTTTTTTCATGGTTTTGAAACGACATGCTATACCATGACTTTTTTTCATGATTTGGAACAACAAACTATACTATGACTTTTTTTTTCATGATTTGGGACGACATACTACACTATGACTTTTTTTTCATGGTTTTGAAACGACATGCTATACCATGACTTTTTTTCATGATTTGGAACAACATACTATACTATGACTTTTTTTTCATGATTTGGGACGGCATACTACACTATGACTTTTTTTTCATGGTTTTGAAATGACATGCTATACCATGACTTTTTTTTCATGATTTGGGACAACATACTATACCATGACTTTTTTTCATGATTTGGAACAACATGCTATACTATGACTTTTTTCATGATTTGGGACGACATACTACACTATGACTTTTTTTTCATGATTTGGGACGATTCTGGCAATCAGTAATGATGCTCATTATGTATGCCCTTGAAACCGAGCTGCACCAATCACATCGGTGTATCTGATATAGGCGGGCCAGACGCAAGCTAAACAGATGACGACAGCGCTGTGATGATGAAGTCTGGAATCAGTCAGTAAACATTGCAAGATGGCTATGGATGAACACCAGTTGTTTGAAACGGCTTTGGCCGCTACAATGAACGAGTTAGACTTGGCTTTTTCTCTAAAAGAGGAACAGAAGACGGTGCTCAAGTATTTCCTTTGCAAGAAGGACGTTATTGCTGTTTTGTCGACCGGATACGTTAAGAGTCTAACCTACCAGTTATCTCCGCTGGTAGCTAAGCGTATACGTCACCCCGTGTATTGTTCTGATTGGTCGTAGTGTTATCCAATTGCGTGCAGTGATATTTACAAATACATGCTTGGTGCCCCCCCTTGAGTTGGGCCATTTTCATTACTCATGGCCAGACCCTAAATCTTTCTAGATTTGGGTCTGGATTTCCAGGCTACTATACTATGACTTTTTTTCATGATTTTGGTCTACATAGTACACAATGACTTTTTTATGACACACTAAACTATTACTCTTTTATGACTTTTGACATAAAATATTGTGACTTTTTTCATGACATATTATACACTGACTTTTGATGACATTCTTTGCTATGATTTTTTTAAGACATATGTGACAACTGTCCTCCTGTTCACTAAATAGCTGTGTTGCTGGTGCTCCTCTTGTGTCGCAGGAATTGAGAGGAGGGTCTACGGCTGACTGAGCCACATTTGGGCCCGCTGTCTGGTCTGGGAAAAATACATCCTCCCATCGTCAGTATCCAACTCTGTCGGCATGAGGACAGCCCTGTGTTTTCTTCTTTGTCATGCACATACACTGCTACGCACCCTCATATGTATTTCATCAATGAGCTACTGACACTACATGTTGTATTGTTTAATCTAACTCATGTTGTTGTAATTAAACTATCATTGTTGTCAGCAACTTCGTTTGGTCTCTCGTTTCTGTTGCAGCTTATGAGCTGGTCTATGACACATATCATTCCATGAGTTTTTTCATGGTTTTGGACTACAAACTATATTATGACATTTTTGTCATGATTTGGGACGACATACTATACTATGACTTTTTTTCATGATTTGGGACGACATACTATACCATGACTTTTT